TTACTGTGACTTTTATGACGACTTATTTTTTTATTTAATATTAAGGGCCATGGACTAGACTAGTCCAAATGGACTATTTCCTTGGTCCCCACCAGTTATACAATTTTGTCCCGTACATGAACATGTAAATATTTTGTTTGTATACTGGTGAAATAAATAAATATAAATATAAATCTAGAACCAGTGATCATATTCAGACAAAACTCGGCAATCGGATAGTATGGGACAAACGAAAGGTTTTGTTACAAATCTGTGCATATTTAATCAGGAAAATTTGCATTATAATGAATTCTTCTGGTGCAAATATCTAAAAACAAAATCGTCACATACAACCCAGAACACTGAAAAATATATTTCTAATAACCGGATGAAATCACAGATAATTTAAGGCACTTATATAAGATCTAACTAGTTGTTGGTGTCAATCTGTGCATAATTAATTCACTTTAACTTATAACTTTTTTGTATGAATAAATTCTTGTAACTAATCTTAATATTTAAGTAGTAGATATGCAGTAACCGTATGCCAACAAGCTATTCTGATATCTGCATTAGGAGCATATATATTGCATGTTTTATATTATATATTTACTTCTCAAGAAAGCTGGTACAAAATAAAATGTTGTATATTTCTGTATGGTTTAAATTAAGGTGTATTGTACATTTCTTTTTATTCACAGGATAAATGCAGTACACCAATTAACTAAGGAGTTGTAATGAAGACCGTATTGGTGAAAATTTGTCAGATCCTGACCCTCCTGAATCTTGCATACATGCAACCTGATATTATTGTTTTGTTTTGCAAATGTGTGTTTAATATTAACTTGAATAAATGATTTTCTCAAATGATACATTTTAGGTGTTTGTTTTTTCCCCCGTCTACTTCACGAATTATTATAGTTCAATAATTTATAAAACATGATGTTCAAAGGTATCCTATTTACATTCAAATGTATACTGGTAATATCTTACAGTTATGTAATAGAAGATTTCGATAAATGTCTACTAATATTAATTATAAATAAATGGAAGTTCAAAAGTATCCTTTACATTCAAAAGTATACTCGTAATATCTTAATGTTATGTAATAGAAGATTTCAATAAATGTCTACTAATATTAATTAGAAATAATAGAAGTTCAAAAGTATCCTTTACATTCAAAAGTATACTCGTAATATCGTAATGTTATGTATTAGAAGATTTCAATAAATGTCTACTAATATTAATTATAAATAAATGGAAGTTCAATAGTATCCTATTTACATTCAAAAGTATACTCGTAATATCTCAGTTAGGTAATAGAAGATTTCAATAAATGTCTACTAATATTAATTATACATAAATGGAAGTTCAAAAATATCCTATTTACATTAAAAAGTATACTCGTAATATCTTACAGTTGTGAAATAGAAGATTTCAATAAATGTCTACTAATATTAATTATACATAAATGGAAGTTCAAAAGTATCCTTTACATTCAAAAGTATACTGGTAATATCTTACAGTTAGGTAATAGCAGATTTCAATAAATGTCTACTAATATTAATTATAAATAAATGGAAGTTCAAAAGTATCCTATTTACGTTCAAAAGTATACTCGTAATATCGTAATGTTATGTATTAGAAGATTTCAATAAATATCTACTAATATTAATTATAAATAAATGGAAGTTCAAAAGTATCCTATTTACATTCAAAAGTATACTGGTAATATCTTACAGTTGTGTAATAGAAGATTTCAATAAATGTCTACTTATATTAATTATAAATAAATGGAAGTTCAAAAGTATCCTATTTACGTTCAAAAGTATACTCGTAATATCGTAATGATATGTATTAGAAGA